CAAAATGCCCCATGCCAGTCCATCTCATCTCACCAATGCCTAGTATGTCAATATTTATGCGTTCCATTTCTTCCTTAACAATGTCTAATTTTCCTGCATTCATGGTTCTCACATTCCATGTCCCAATCACCAACCAGTGTCTGTTTACAACTGTTCCTCTTCCTTTGTATTTCCATACTTGAAAACTCAACCTCCTTTGCCGTTTCTGTTATCTAAATGTGTTCTGTCCCCAAAATAATCAACTCAACTCATAGCTATGGAGTGGGAACCAAATCATAGCTCACTCTCCATAGGGTTTTCAGAGGCTGTACATCACATGAGAGAAGAAAGCTCATCTTTCTTCTGAAGAGCAACTGATAGACTCAAACCACCTGGCTTTGAGGTGGCAACACAACTTTTTACCCAGTAGGCTGCCACAGGCCAATGGCAGCTGATTTTGCCCAGTAAAACCGCATTTGATTTTGTTGCTACCACGGGAGTTAACTGTGGACCTAAGGACAGTAAAATTTACTACTGGAACAGAAATTAGACAAAACTGTATCTCCTACTTTAAGAACAAGGAAGCCCTGATGGTTTGATCGTAAAAAAGTTTCCTTGCCAAGCCAAAGAAAGATACACCCAGTTCTAATCCACCAGCTACCACAACAGAAAAATGTCCAATCAACTCCCTTGTGATTTACTGCCAATGAAAATGAGTTGGAGGGTCAGGTATGAGTCAGTTTCAACTTGATGATACTTAACAACTTTAAGAATAAATGCTCAATATAGTAACCTAAAATGATACCACTAAAAAAGAAAAATAGGCAAATGGAAGTTTTGAGAGATAGAAGGGCAGAACTGAGGAAACTTGGAAAGAGAAGCCTAAAGGGAACTGGTTATATAATTAGCTAAAAGATCCAATAGTGATTTCAAGGCTTACAAAAATGGAATGAATATTATGTTTATTACAGAAGAAAAAAGCAAAAAGATGAAAATAAAAGCTACCAGTATTCTACTACCCAAAGATAATCATTCTGGTATTTGCTGTTAGTGCCATCTAGTCAACAACCCATCACGAGGCTATGAACAAATTATTTGACCCTTCCCCTTTATTGTGCCACCCTCACCCTCTCTGACATGCTTGGGTCACCTTTTCAGGACATCTCTTTCAGTGTCTTCCTCTTTTGCTCTGACCCTCTCTACCTTCCCCAGCTTTCACACCTTTCCAAGAACCGACTCCTCCTGACCATATATACCCAAAGTATGTGAAATTAAGTTTCACCATCCTTGCCTCTAAGGAGTACTCTGTTTGCACTTCCTCCAAGATCGATAGATTTGTTTGCGCCTTTCAATACTCTGCCAACTCCCTGAAAGGCACTGATTCTTCTCTGCTGCTGCTGTTGTTAGGTACCATCAAATCTAACATATCACAGCGACCTTATGATTCTTCGCAGTTTATGAGATTTTTAAGACTACTCTCGTTAGTGCTTTATTGTATAGCTGCGAGCTGCTTTGGCAAAGGTTATGCTAAAGTTTAAGGAAGTTTTTACAATAATTAATCACACCAAAATTGAGAGCCAGTGGGCCGAAAACAAAACTTAAACACTTAAGAATAACAGGCATTATTAAGCTGTCCACCGTATTTCACAAACTATGAAGACTTGTATAGTCTAGCTTCTTGGCTTCAAAAGATTAGTTCCTTGGACTAGCCCTGAATTCTGGTTTCATTTTACAAACGAAGATTAGAGACTTGAAAGCTTGTTCCAAATTCAGCCCAGTGGTCATACACCTGGCTTTACATTACTCATCTAAGAAAAATACGCCAGGTCCCGCCCCTAAACATTCTGGATCATCCCGCCAGCGCTGATACTCAGAGATCGGTACTGTTAAAAAAGTACACGAGTGATTCTAACGCTCAGACAGCGAATCCCCTGAAAGTGCGTCAATCACTCCGGCGGCCCAGGCGGTTATTTGGGGTTCTGGGGCTCGGTTCCTCTCAAGCCTCCGTTCGTCCTTCAGGCGGCAAGGTGAACTGCATGGGAGCTGAGACCGGCCCTTTGAGCCAGCAAATGGCAGCAGAGAGCACCCGAGATGACCTCAAAGGCTCCCAGAAAGCTGTGAAGAAGCCCTACGGTCTACCTGTTCTCTCCTCCCAACAGGAGCCTGCGAAGGGAAACAAGGCTCGACAAGACTCACCTGAGCGGCTTCTTGGAGAGTGGGCACACCAGGAACTCCAGCAACGCCGGGTCCAAGGAGCCAAGCGGCTCCTCCGCCCTCCCACTTGGGTCCCCTGACTGTCGCGGCCACGATGCGTGCAGATACCTGCGGACGACAGGAGGCAGGGGCGCGCGTGGCCCGCAGCAGGGAGGCGAGCCGGCCGCAGGCTCCCAGCTGCATTGTCCGACAAGCAGATGCCTCCTCACCCCTCCGGCCCTCCAGAAACTCTGAACGACTTCCGGTTCCGCGAAGTCCCGCCCTCTGGTGCTAGCGGAAACACATCCCGTGGCAGGCCAAAGCTAACATTTTGGTTCTGACGGCGCTTTCGATGACCCGACTGATTTTCCTATGGTACAGCTGTGCAGTAGTATTTAGGCAGAATGTTAAATGATCCAGGAGGTATCAAAAGAAGATGGAAGGAATATACTGAGTCATTGTATCGAAAGGAATTGGCAAATACAGAAG